AAAACTTTCAAGGCAAGTAATAAATAACCCACCCCCTTTTGCACCTACATTCGTTTTTTCTATGAGAAACAAAACGATAGAGACGTCACAGAAACGATTAAACTGTGTATAAAAAGTCTGACGAAAATGAGCTCGGATTCATTCAATTTTTATCATTTGATGTGCAAGCATACATTTTATTATCTGTACCCAGTTATATAATCTGTACCTTTCCTAAACGCTCCTCCTAAACGACGTGTATCCTACAATACCTCCTATCCCCGACGGTGTCAACGTCTCGACGCTCAACTTCCTGCCATCCTACTCCCTACGTCTCGAACGCTGTCACATTCCTCACCATCTAAGTATTTCCTACCGTACACTCATTTCGACGCTCAACGTCCCACGCCTTATTTCCGACGCTTTGCCGTCCATAATTATTTCCTTCATAATATCACGTCCCGCACCACCTACTTAATTCTACCGTATATCTGTCCCAATACAGTACCGTATTAAATACCTTCCCTTCCATCACGACGCTAGACGTCTCGACGATGGACGCCTCGACGTCCAACCCTGCGACGTACCTAAATAGACGCCGTCACAACGCTAGATGAAATTAGTACATAATCTAATGTCTGTATTTTCAGTGGTGAGTCAAAAGATTTAGTATCTTTCTTTGAGATACCACCCCGGTTTCGTTTAAGGGCAGGCTTGACATTTGCTGTAAAATATTATCAATAAACCACATGGCCTTTAGGTCATACACCCCGAAAGATAGGATAACATCTGTTTTACGATGGGTGAAATTTGGAGTATTTCAATAGAAATAATAGAAATCAATATTAAGAAATATACAGGGTTATATTAAGTTATTTCAATAGAAATTATAATAATCAATATTAAAATACATACAGGGTTGTATTAAGTAATATCAATAGAAATTATAAAGATCAATATTTTGGAAATATACAGGGTTGTGCTATCTTGGATAAATTGTACAAACCAAGATGGTAAAATTTAATAGTAAGTTAACCAACTGGCGAATACGCTGTTCGTTAACTCAAAGGGGGACACCTATACGCTAAGCAACCCGTTCTACAAGGTTTGAAACAAAGTATATGTGAAATCAACATAGTAAGGTAATCAACTGGCGAATTGGCGCTGTTTGTTACTTCCGTTGGTCATCACCTCTATACTCATCGTAATATTTACCTAAGAGGGTGCAACCTGTATATATCTACAATAGAATCAAATCAACATCAACTCAATAGTTAATCAACTGGCGAATTGGCGCTGTTTGTTAACTCTTTGGTCATCAACCTAAATAAGAATATAAACAACAACACTATAGTTAATCAACTGGCGAATTGACGCTGTTCGTTAACTCTGTTGGTCATCAACCTAAATAGAATATGTATTGATAGCAAATGAATATGGTCTGCGTTTAAACGGGACTCAAGTGAGATCTCAGTAAAAAGTAACAATTGTAATATACTTTGCTAATTATTGCATCACATTTAAAGTATGAAAAATAAATAAGAGTTTAAATATGAATTTGTATGTTTTATTTATCAATTTGCACCAAACTTTGCATCGAATTCTGGTTTACCTTAATTAACATTATCACAACGTGGGTATATAAAATATCAATTAATTAACTAGACGATCACTTCTACTACTAGAGGAAAAAGGCCAAATTACAGTAAGTATAGAATTTAAAGTAAAGTAAAACTTGTGAGGTAAATAAATAAATAACATTCAAAGTAAAAACAAGAACAAATCAAAAGAAGAGGGGGCCTGGGGGCGGGCCGTCACAATCCAGACTCTATTTTGGAGATTAAATGTCCTCATGTTTTAAAAAATGCAACATTAGAAGATGCCGTAAAAAATAAAAAAGTTACTTTCCTTTTATTTAATGAAGTCAAAGGAGAATTTGAACTTAAAAAAAAATCATGATTATCATTATCAGATTCAAGGGCAACTACATATAACAGGAAAAAAATATTGTTATTTTGTAGTGTGTTTCCCCCTTAAATCTCCATACATTAAACTAATTGAAAAAGATGATAATTTCTATTTTAAAAATATGAAATCTAAATTATCATCTTTTTATTTTTCTTCTATGGCTATGAAAATAATAAAAAATATATAATACCTTAATTTCAATATTTTTTTTGTATCATAATTATTTTATAATTTTGCGGCATATGGTAAGTTTTTTATCAGGCACTAATTTTAGAAAAAGAAGTATTATTCATAAAAAGCTGTGCATGTCCTGAAACCGAAAATACAACCATCTAATATCAAATTTTATCAACCGTATACGAGGTTCGTCAAAAAATATGATTTTGCTGTGGCGTATGCAACATGGTTTATGTTGGTAAAATTGTCAGGGCACATGCCCAGAATTTACTTTTTCCTCAATTTATAATTATTCTCCAAATCTACCTGTACGCTTAATAACCGGTGTAGCCATAATAATTAGTTATAAATCCGTGTAAATACGTATCCTGTAATAAAACAGATCATAAGTATTTTTAGTATTTTAGTTACAGCGAGATACATCACAAGTACCTTTATTTTTGACAAACCTCGTATACGACTGATACAATTTAATATTAGTTGTTTGTGTTGTGGGTTTTAAACAATGCACGACCTTTAAAAAAAACATTTTTCCTAAAATTAATAATAAAGTTTTCTATATTTCGCCAACTTACTTAGACACACTGTATATCATTTTTAGTTACTATCAGGTATACCTTAATTTAAGAGCCCTTTGTCTTAAATAGTCGATCTCAAATATTTATTTTAACATTTGAAAAATGATCGCTCAGAATATGCAACTATTACATGTTAACAAAAATAGTATATTATGCAACGATCATGTAATGATGGTTATTAATACACGAGCATTAACCGGGATACGAAACGAGCCAAAGGCGAGTTTCGTATGGTTTATGCGAGTGTTTTAATAACCATTACATGAGAGTTGCATACGCTATTTTTTCTACACCCGATAAATAATCAAGATCTATAAATATTCTATTTATATTGGTATTGAACACAATAACAGTAATTACTCGTATTTCTATAAAAAATTCTACAAAATTGTAATTAATGGTATTACCTTGGGTACTGGTATTACCACAGATTTTTGGGGCAAAATATTTTGTACTGCATTTTCTCCTTTCTCCTATATGTGTGGAGGAGTGTTCTATATCGCTGATATCAGACATTTTAATATTATAATTATCGAAGTTTAGCTATCTACGAAAATTTAATACGTTTTGACAACTAAAACAATTACATAGGAATTTAGGACAAACGTCAAACATCATGCTTGATTGAAAAATTGTAGGTTTCTATTGATTAAAAATCTGTATCATAATGAAAAATCTGTATCATAATGGGTATCATTATGAAACGGATTATGGGCATATAAGTGCATTATTATAATACGGGTGTAGAAAAAATGTTTTTCTTTCACAGAAACTTTAAAATAATATTATTCATTGAATACATAATACATAAGAAAGGCGAATGCTCTTTATACTCTTTATGGCTGCGGCTTATTTGTTTGTTATTAGGCAATTAATATCGCAATTTTTTTGCGAAGTTGACAAAAATATGGTTTTCTTTGTTTTATCTAAATGTGTGATACTATTTGATAATTTAATTTCTATTCTGACTATTTAGTATTAAGTTGCAAAATTATTTATTTTTTGACTTTGACGGTATATCTCTTAAAAAAAAGATTGAATTACTTGTTTATTATTATGCTGTAATATTATTATAATATTGTCAAATATGGTAGTTATATAGATATAACTTATAATTTATTATATGCTTTTAGCATTGGTTGTAAATAAATATTTAGGGAATTTGCAGAATTACATTACTTTAATATGTAATATTTGATTTATTTAAACTCGTATTTCATAAAAATCATATGTATCTTTTGTGCGCATAAATATAAAAAAATAAATAACGATTTTTCTCAATTTTCACAATTAAAAAAAGTTAAAAGTCGTTTGTAAATGCTTTGTAAATAGTAAACATATGAAAAGTATTCTAAAGGAGTCAGAAATATGTTCCAAATGACTTAATAAGCAATAGATACAAAATATGTTAAAACACTCTTAAATGATCATCTAAACGCGTACCAAAACATTTTAACATAATTTCAAAATATTGGTTCATACACCTCATTTATATTCTCAAAACTATATATCAAATAAAACTAATCACCCTTTAGTCAAAATTCACAATATTAAAACAAATCCATAGTAATTTAAATTTTTATTAATTAGTTATGTAAACATGAAAACTGTGTAGAAAGAACTATTATTTGTTGTTTGGTGTTCGGAATGTACCTCTCACTCACCTGGTGTTAACTGCACGCAGGCCTACTTTTACATTCGGATATATCTACGTGTACCTAGTAAAGGGTCTCGGTCTATCTCTCTCCAAACTCTTGCAAGAGAGAAGCTGATCTGAAACTTGCGAGGTGCTATTGTCCCCTTAATTAAGATGGACATATAGGTCTTTCGACCTCTGTCCTAATTTATTTGTAATAATAAAAATTAGGAAAAATAAAAAATAAGTCGCCTAGTGCGGACCACAATATCCCATGCTTGCAATCGAAAGGGCGTTGTTAAACCAAAGACTCTCTTTATCGCTCTCACGTTTAAATATAATTAATCGTCTCATCTTTATTTTGCCTGATACGTCTGTTAACGCATTGTATAGTAGCAAAGTATTCTGCTTATATGGTGATTTCGCATCTTTAGTAGTTGTTAAGTTTATGGTAAGTACGTAACGTTCTGATGCTCGGTTTCAGGTCATTACTCAAACTCTTTGGTTAACAAATATCTACTAACCGCTGAGATAACCTCTAATAAACTTTAAATAGTGCATACATACAAAAAACAAACAATATTTATTATTCTTAAATGATTTATTTTTTAAATACATTTTTTTTGGATTCTATCGTTTTGTATATTCAAATATAATTATCTTTAGTATGACGTGAAAGGAGGAACACCATATTGGTCAAATATGTAATTCCAAAATCTGTACATGTCTTCTTTAGGATTTTTCCTTACTTCTAACCAAGAACCGATGGCTAGATACTGAAAATTATCTGGTTTAACAGTTGGCCATTCCAAATTTTGTAATAAGTCTACTTTTTCTGGAGTTGGATTCCTAAAAAACAATACAAATTGTATTGTATAAATTGCAAATGAACTGATAAAATAACTATGAGCAAATTTATTTAAATATAATTATATTTGATATACCTAATAAAAAATGTGTTTTATTATTAATATATGTTTATAATCAAGTGGCATCTTAATTTTTTTAACGTATCAGTAAAATTATTAGATAACCATTGAAAATGTTGTTATGATCAAATAAAATAAAGTATTAAGAGATTATAGAAAATTCAAATACCCAAGTACTTAAAAATATAAATAATTTGATGTTTATTTGCAAATAATCTAAAAAGTACGGCTAGAAATTTAATATTACAATTGAAGGGCTTATTGGAATAAGATGATAAGCCACAACAATAATTTATTAAGAAAAACCGTGTTTAAAGGTTAAAGAACATCTAAAACTACTAGAACTTTGTTAAAATTCAATAACTTGATTTTTCGACTAATGATTGTATTTGTTAGAGAATTTCCATTTGGCTTATGGCTTTTGTAACCTTATTTTTTATTGTCGCAAAGTAAAAATGCCTTTATTTTAAAAAGTGTGGCTTGTCACGTTTTTACAATATGCCCTTCAATTACAAAAAAAATAAATGTTATTAATTTACACCTGTATTAAGTCACAAATTTAAATAAAAACATATCAGGAGCGTTAGTTTATAACTTTCTATACAGTGAGCATCATAAGTCTTACCCCCCCTATCTAACTCGATTCTGGAGTCTTGTTAGGAAAATCGCCGAGGCACGTCGATTTTTGATTTCTACAATGTACATATGGTATGAATAGTGTACCCTTAATTTCATCCCTTACTGGAGGGGAGCAACCCTTTCGAAAAATTTAATTGGCATGGGGTGGTGAGAGATAGCTCACTTGAAAGGGGGTTTCATTCTCTATTCAACCGTGCAAAAAATTTTGAATTTTGCTTCATTAATTCTCGATTAATTATTGTTTCAGAATAACGGAAATTAGCGAAGCGCACTCATCCATAGAATTAAAATTCGGCCCTGCATGATATCGGTTTTGGTTCAGACGTGAAGTAGGACTTTTTGCCATTTAATAAGGTCACTGTTAGTTTAGTTGCTTTTCTGTTTGTGATGTTTTGTTATTTTTAAACATTAATAAATCAACACGTAAAAAAGCAAATTTCAAAATTGTTTGCACGGTTGAATAGAGAATAAACCCCCCTTTCAAATGAGCTATCACTCACCGCCCCATGTCATTTAAATTTTTCAAAAGGGTTGCTCCGCTTCAGTAAGGGATGCAATTAAGAGTAAACTATTCATACAAAAATGTACATTGTAGAAATCTAAAATCGACGTGTCTCGGCGATTTTCCTATCAAGACTCCAGTAACGAGTTAGTTGGGGGGGGGGGTAAGACTTAAGATGCTCACTGTATGTATGTACGTATTGTATTAAATTAATTATTTATAGAAAAATAAATCTGATTATGGAATATAAATAAAAATTAGGCAATATAAATAATTATGAAAAAGAATTAAGTGAAAATATACCTAAGAAATGTGAAACTGAATGGTATAATAATTTTTTAACACATGCACTTTTCACTATGGAGGGACTTTTTAAAAAGAGAAAAACAATAAAAATAAGAATTATAGCTCTCTACGACACAGACATCTTAATACCATCTCCATCTAGACTGCCAGAATCTATACACTCCACTAATGAGGAGCCTGATCGTAGACGAACTTCTATGCAGAACATACACTGTCAAGGTTATACCGATGAAGGTTATGCCAACGACATAGTCCCATTTGCGAGAGACAAGTTTGACAAAATCTTGTCGGATATAGACCTAAGATGACTAGAATAAACCAGAAGATGGTGTCCTAAAGTAGGACTTGAAATAAAACCTACCAAAAGGAAAACAAAAATTTATCTTAAAACCGTGAAAATAGACGGTAAATTAGTCCAGTAACTACGTAAATTTGGTATCGAGATAATTCCCCATCAACAATTCCCAGACTGGAAAATTTCTCGACTGGAACATTCCCCGACAGGAAAATTCCCCGACAAACAATTCCCCGACAATACATTACATTTTACCACAAAAAAATATTCCCTTAGAAAATGCTAAAATCTATCATATCAAAAATCATCAAATTTTAAGATTTTAAATGGTCAAATATTGAAGAATTGAATATATAGAAATAGTACCAAGAATTAAATTTTTAGAAACTACTACTATTTTTTTATAGAGACAATTAATTTATAATGCAAATTGAAGGTGTTTTATAAATACCTTAATAAAGTCGAGGGGCTGACCCGGTGCAGGATATTAATGTACTTTACACATTAAGGTCTTTTATAAATACTTAACTAAAATTATATAAAATTATTCGAATAGGACATTGTTAAAAGGATATTAATATAACAAAATTGTTAACTGTACATTAAAAATTCTTCGAATAGGACATTAATGGTCATTGCTAAAAGGATAATAATCGATCAAATCTATTGACCGATGTCAGAGAAGTAGAAAAAACCAAATTTTATAATATGGTAACGTTCGTAGAAAGGCAGAAGCTGCTCCAACTTTGCCACTTCATCGACGAGATATCGCATTTCCCGCAGAATACACAAAGAGCCAAAATAGAGAATCCTTTTTGCTTTACGATTCTGGACCAAATGACGACAGAATACTGATTTTTAGTACGAGAAAAAATATTTCACTCTTAGCTCAAAGCAAACATTGGTACGCTGATGGAACATTAAAACAGTACCACACTTGTTTTATCAACTGTTTACGCTACATGGCTTAAAAGAACATATTTCAGTTCCATTAGTGTATGTGCTGTTACCAGATAAAACAAAAAATTCATATATTCGCTTACTGCAAAAGTTAAAAGAATTTATGCCTGGTGTGTCACCAAGTACCATTCTCACAGATTTTGAAACTGGTATGATTAATGCTTTTACTGAAGAATTTCCAGCTTCAAAACATCGTGGATGCTTTTTCCATTTCTTCCAGTGCATCTTTAGAAATATCCAAGCAGAAGGACTAAAAAACCAGTAAGAAGCCGATGCAGAATTTGCATTAAAACTTAAATTATTGCAAGCGTTGGCATTTGTGCCAACAATAAATGTAATCGATGCCTTCGAAGCCCTTTGTGAGGAGAATATGCTACCCGAGGATGCCCAGTCAAATGTTGACTACTTTGAGGACACCTGGATTGGACGCCCTCAAAGAGGCCGCGTCGCGTACCAAACTTTCCCCTTTATATGTGGAATTGCTGCCAGACTGTGATAGAAGAACTGCCAAAAACAAATAATTCTATTGAAGGATGGCATCGTGCTTTCGAGGCTCAAGCTTCTGCAGACCATCCCAATATATGGAAATTCGTAAAAGCTTTACAGCGAGAGCAAAGCGCACAAGAGATTCAGATAGAACAATACGCAGGAGGCCTAGAAGGCCCGCCTCAACGTAAAAAGTACCGTGATTGTGCTGAACGAATATCAGCTTTTGTAAGTATGAAGAGGGGACCCTTACGTGGTATAGCTCATAACCTTCATTACTGAAAAATGATTCATGAATATATTTTTTCTACTACCGTGCGTAAAGTACGTACTTTACGCACTTCACGAAGTGTGTAAAGTTGTACTTTTTTTCACTAGTGCGTAAAGTAAAACTCTTTACGCACTAGTTAAAAAAAGTAAAATTTGACAAAATTTGTACATAACAACAAAATATAACGTTTTATTTTATATTAACATTTTTTTGCTATCTCCTTCTTAGACAAATAAATAAATTATTTTTGCTTATATCTATTTAGTGTCCAACAAATTATCAACAGTTTATTTTAATTATAATTTTCTCTAAATGTCATCGATTTAATTAAAAGTAAACATACAGTGGATGTCGATTTTGGTAAAAGTAAGTTGGGCGTGGCTGTGTGGATTAGAGGTACTGTCAATCTCTAAACTTTTAATTAGTACCTACCTTATAACAGAACACGACAAAAGTATACTTAAGTTCAAGATTAGATTCTAAAGCCAATTTAGCATTATTTTAAACTCAATCAAGTTTGAGAAGGTAAAAAGTTTTACTTTTTAATGTTTGTTTACTTAAATTCAAATTTTATTTGCAGTTTATTATATCTGTCATAATCGATGTGGATTCAAATTTATCTAGCGATAGCGAATTTGATAATACTCCCCCAGATATCTTATGCAGTGCACAAAAGGCCACTGAAAATTTATTGCCAGAAAAATCTGCATATATTTATCAGCAAAAATACAATGCATTTATAGAATGGTGTAGGAAGAATAAGGTGACAAAATATTCGGAAAACGTTATTTTAGCATATTTCTCTGATGAATTAAAGAATTGCAAAGCTTCTACCCTATGGTCGATTTATTCTATGCTTAAAAGCACCTTAAAATATAAAAACAACGTTGATATTTCGAAATTCAACAAGTTAATAGCGTTTCTCAAACAAAAAAATAAAGGTTATAAACCAAAAAATCCAAAATTTTTAAACGAGAAGATCTAATTAATTTTCTGTTGAAAGCTCCAGATTCCAAGTTTTTAATGATCAAAGTAAGTAAATGCCTCAGTAAATGCTTGAATGCTCAGTATAAAATTAAAATATTCTGTAAAGTTTTGCAACGAGATGTGTGTTCGTATGGTGTGTTGCCTAACAAAATCAGTTGCTGTCCTAACAGGCCACCGGGGTTGTTAGGCAGCACATTATACCTAAAACTTTTATATTTTTTTACAATAGCATTTATTTGGAGTTTTACATGCGCAACGTCAAGATATTTCCTAATGTTTAATAAATTATTTGTAACATTACAATATGTTATTTTTTAGGTAGCTTCTATAATTGGAATTGCGGGAGCTTGTCGCCGGAAAGAATTATGTAAAATGACAATTGACGATGTGGAAGATAAACAAACAGTGTATAGTGTCAAATTATCAGAAACCAAAAATGGAATAGAACGCATTTTTACGATTTTAAATCCAAAT